CCATCACTTTGAACCACAGCTCAAAGGGACTTTTCTACCCAGACTGGCTTGGAATGGCAATCCTCAGATCTCAAGTCTCCTGAGTAGCTGTGGATTACAGGTGTGAGCCACCAGTACCAGCAGAAAACTGTATCTTACTAACAAAGAGACACTATGATTCTCCTTGCTGACTTGATGAAGTAAGAGTTCATGCTAAGGAAATCCATATGACAAAGAATTACATGAACTGAGGGGCAGGTGAGGGAGAGGGGTTCCAGGAGCTAGCAGTAGCCTTCAGGTAACAACCAGCAAAAAGCTGAGGGTTGCCGGGCACGGGTGGCTCATGCCTATAATCCTAGCTACTCAGGAGGCTGAGATCTGAGGACAGCACTTCAAAGCCAACATGGGCAGGAATGTTCTTCAGACTTTTATCTGCAATAAACCACCAGCAAACCGGAAGTGAGGTGGTGGCTCAAGTGGTAGAGAGCTAGCCTTGAACTGAAGAACTGAGGGACAGCACCCAAAGTTCAAGCCCCACAACCAACAACAACAACAACAACAAAAGCTGAGAGTCTCAATCCCACAGATATAAGGGAACAAATTCTGCCCACAATCTGAATAAGCATGGAGGTGAGTTCTTCCTTGGTCAAGTCTGCAGATGAGAATACAACCCTCCTAAGTTAACAACCTCTTGATTGTTAAGCCTGTGAGACTTGGCAGTAGACCTGGTAAAGCTAAGACCAGACTTCTAGAAACTGTGAGAACTGTAAAAGGCAAAGAGTTTATAGTAATTTGTTAACAGAAAACTATACTAGAGTCTACTGAATCCTGTCTTTAAAAAACAAAATAGACCACAGATCATCTAGCCACTCCTCCATTCTCTATAGTCCAACAAAAGAGTTTTCATATGTGCCTCTCCATCCTTACCTCGCACCGGCTGCTCAGCCTCTCTCCATCACTGACTTCTTTTGTCAAAGATAACACTAAGTTCCATATTATTTCATCCATATGAGTCAGTCACTTAACTTCCTTCTTATTTCCAATAACATTCTCACAGTTCATTGCTTTCTTCTCTTGACTTAGTGAACTTTACATATTCTACCCATCTAAATACTGCTTAACTGGTTTCAGTGGCTTCTCCTCCTATACCCAAACTGAATCTGTATTGGGCCTAAGAGACCAGCCCAAGCTCACTGGGCTCTCTTTAGACTGATACTTTATACTTTATACTGTCAGCTTTAAATGACAAAAGTCAGGCTGGTGACTCCCAAATTCCTCTCTCTAGTACTGAATACCCTATCAGTTCCTCATCATACTGCCACTGGCCTATTTGTAACCTGTACTTGTAAGTCTAATTAGTATCTGCATACTTAATCTATATAAAAGTGAGCACTTGATTTTACTCCCCCAGCTTCCTCAATTTCAACAAATGGCACTGATCTCCACACTGTGGAGCTTATCCTGGATTCCTCCCTGCCCTTCACCCCCATCAACAAGTTCTAATGGAGGATCCTGAGTCCATCATTTCCCCTAATTCTGCTTTTGCCAGCCTCTAAACTCCACATAGCCCTCCCTTGTCCCATAGCAGCCAGAGCCACCTCACTGGTTTTCCTATTCCCAATGCTGATCTCTAGATTCCATACAACAGGACCTCTTGAAAACTAAAAACTAGCTGATACATTTTTACTGATTAAAACTTCCTGAAGGAAGACTTCAGGGCTCACCTTATCTATGTGGCTGGCCCTGAGTGACCTCTGTGACATACCTTCTAACTTCCCTCCCAAAGTTCCAGCCACAGTGATCCTCCCCTTCCCACTTCAAGCCTACACAGTGTTTCAGATCAAATGTCCCCTCCTAGGAGGGGTGTTCCTCTTAGACTGATCTCTTTTCCTCCTTGATAGGTACCCTGTTCTGCCAGGTAATCCCTGACCTTCTTTTTTCCATTTCCTCATTATCCTTTGTTTCTCTTTCCTGACCCTGACCAACACATCCCTGTCTACTGAGACTAAAAATGTCTGATTTGCCTGAGCACAGTGAACTTCTGTGAAAAACAAGATGTCAGATCCAATAGTCAGGCCAGTTCAAACTGACTCGGCTATCATCTTGACCACCACTTGCCCTCTAGTCTCATCACCATTTCCGTGTGTGTGTGTGTGTGTGTGTGTGTGTGTGTATACGTGTGTGTACGTGTGTGCATGTGCACGCGCACGACTACTACTCAGGTTTGAACTCAGGGCCCAGGCACTGTTCTTTAGCTTTTTCACTGGAAACTAGCACTCTACTATTGAGCCATACCTCCATTTCTGGCTTTTTGGTAGCTAACTGGAGATGAGAATGGACTTTTCTTCCCTAGCTGGCTTGAAACTTCTATCCTCAGACTTCAGACTCCTTAGGATTATAGGTATGGGTCAGCAGTGCTCAGAATCATTTCCTTGTATCTCCATAGTAAATTGCTTACCCACCAGCACCATGACAGTTTACAATTTCCACAATAACCCTGACAACTGGCCAAACATGGTCAAAAGAGGTAGAAACAGAATTCTTGGAGTTACAATGGTGTTTTATTGGAAAAGTCATAAATATTCCACTCATTTATTAATCCACCTGAGCCTCCCCATACTAGGAAAGCACATAACCTCTGGAATGGAAGCCTGATTCCAGCTACCTGTTCCTCTTTGGACATTAACTATCTCTTTGTGTCAACCTCTGATGTACACATCGGTTCTGCTGTAGTGGGTTCAAGACCCAAGATCTGGCTCAGTGAAAACTGGGCAACAGCAATAGCATATACACAACCACAAGGGCCATACTTGCTTAACTATTCACTCACTCAAATATCTGAGTCTTGTTATGACATCTTTTATTATATGTGAGCATAGGAAAGTTTTCTATGTGTTCTGGAACAACATCTGGCAAAGTGCTCAATAAATTCTTGTTGAATGAATGAAAATGTGTAAGATGTTGACATTCTTATCTACATAATAATAAATTATTTGTGACAGCCCTAAAACTTTATTCAGACACTGTGTCAAGATGTCTTTAAAGTAGTTAAAAAAAAATTGGGGCTGGGATTGTGGCTTGGTGGTAGAGTGCCTGCCTAGCATGCATGAAGCCTGGGCTTCCTCAGTACCACATAAACAGCGCTGTGGCTCAAGTGGTAAGAGTGCTAACCTTGAACAAAAGGCAAGGTTAGGCAAGGAGGAGGAGGAGGAGAAAAAAAGAAATTATACTTGAATATGTTACATATATAAGATCTTGAAAACTTGTAAGCATAGCAATATGTTATAAAAGTTGTGAGCTATGCAATATGTTATAAATTTGAAAGAACTTAAAATTGGTTTGAAGATGTGAAAAATCCTTTTTGATGTTTAAAGTAGCACTCCCTAATTATTCTGTTTTATAGGGATGATTACTTTTCCTACAGTTCGGTTTACTTTGACCAGAACATAAATTCTTAATTTTTAATTACAGTTTGTAAAACTACTATTCAAACCACAAGACATACATTCAGTATGTCTGGACAAAAATGCTAAGGAGTCACACTACTCTTTGTAATTCTGTGTCACTGACAAAATGTGACTTCATTCAAATCCAGCGATATCCTGTAGCCATACAATGTAGGCTATTCAGTCAGACTACCCTAATGAGTGTGGTCACAGTCCTTATTCCAACAAGCATCTGTCAAAAACAATCATCCTAAATGACAACTTTCTGAAAATTTCTCACTCCCAGAGCTAGTAGTACTTCCTGGGTGGTCTGGGAAAGATATTTGTGCCTACATCTGGAGTACTAACCAAATTCTTTGAAAATGCAATCTCAACCTTCCAGGGACTGTGGGAGCAGGCTCCAAAAATCTATTCAGTTTACTTGTTCATGTATTTTCTTCCTCACTTCCCAAGACGACCTGAAAACTCCAAGAAATGGTTGTTCAGCTGATTTTAAGAACCACTGGGGGGGGAGGGGGCGGGGAAGAGAAGGAATCACTCACTTCAACGCTTACCACTTGCTGCCCTCAAAACTTCTTAGCAACATCCGCGGTGCATGAACCTCAACGTGGCTTGCCTTGTCCAATCGCATGCCTGAAAGCCCAGCCAGTCAGTTGTGTAATAATAAACCCCTTATCTCCAGAAGATACACCAACGGAAAGATCGCTCCGAGCTTTCGCGCGCGGGGGACTTCGCTAGAATTCTCGGCTGAAACTCACATCCATTTTAAATGCCAAACCTCGCCCCATCACTTCGCCCGATTTCCTTTTTTTCCCCTTATTTGCCATGTTGAGAATGCTAAGCGTGGTACCGTTTAACCACGGGAGGTCGAGGGGGTAGTACCAAAGCCGTGCGCAAAAGGCACGCGGAGACCCAGGGCTTGGTTTTCTGCGGCACTGGTTCCCTCCCAAGTGCCCGCAGTGGAAAGTCATCAACAATTGTTCTGGGCTTGAAGGAAGGGGTGGCCGGATGGACCAGAAAAGCTGCTTGCTAGTTTCAAAAAGCTTTAACAGCAATCAAATCGGAAGGGGACTCTCCTCCCACCCCGGAGAAGAATAAAACCTCACTCCCCCGACCTCGCCTGTCCCCACTCGGTCGCCTACCCACGTCCCAGCTCCAAGTTCCCCATCCCACTGGTGAGAAGCGTCCTTTCCGGGTACCACACGAGACAGCAAACCCGACCCGGCCTTTGACCAAAGAAAGGCCGCCTCCAAGAGTGCAAGCAATCAACAGT